GGTTGGAGGCAACTGGGGGGGATTTAAAAGGATTTGGGGGGGCTGAAGGAGCTGGGGGGTTTAAAGGAAACGGGGGGCTGGAGGAAACTGGGGGGTTTAAAGGAAACTGGGGGGGCTGGAGGAAACTGGGGGGTTTAAAGGAAACTGGTGGGACTTAAAAGGATTTGAGGGGTTGATGGGATTTGAGGGGGCTGAAGGAAACTGGGAGGGCTTGAAGGAAACTGGGAGGGCTGGAGGAAACTGGGGGGGGGTTTAATTGCAAAGGGAGAGGGAGGAGCCCACGTAGAAGAGCCAGAAGAAGGGGAAGATCCTCTCGGAAAAGGCGGCGGTGAAGGTGAAAATGGGCGCCATGTTGTCGGCGTTGTAAAACGCCACCCACCCCCCCTCGTAGTCCAGGTAGACCCCGATTTTCCTGGGCCTCTCACAAAGGGATAAAGGTGTTTCTGGAGAAGTAAAAGCCTGATATTGATCCCAATTTTTCCCTTTCCAGTTCAACCCCACTGCCCAAATCCCTTCCTCGGGGGCGAAGTCGATCTTTTCCTTCCTCCGCACCGACTCGCGCGCGGCTCCCAAGACCCAACTCTCTCCATCTCCCACCTCCACCTCCCAGTAATGTCTCCCAGCTACAAACCCCTCAGCTGCCAGGACACAAAAGGAATAATCAAATCTTTTGGGATTGGCTGGAAGTTCCTGGGGGGCACCACGGAGTCGGACGCTCCTCTTGTCCTCGGAAAGAACCAGGTAGGGGTTGGCGGTGTCGGGGTCCAAGGAGAGGTCACCTGGGGAGAGGGGGAGGTGGAAGGTGGGTCACTCAAGGTTCTCCAAAGGATTTCCCAAGGGTTGTAGGAGGTGGAATGGGGAGGGGAATGGGAGGTGAGGGGTTGGGTTGAGTTGAGGAGGTGGTGTGGGAGAGATTGGAGTGTGGGAGGTGGTGGGAAGGTGGAGGATGTGGAGGTGTTGGGATGTTGGAGGAGGAGGTGGAGGATGTGGAGGTGTTGGGATGTTGGAGGAGGAGGTGGAGGATGTGGAGGTGTTGGGATGTTGGAGGAGGAGGTGGAGGAGGATGTGGAGGTGTTGGAGGAGGAGGTGGAGGGGTTGGGAGTTGGAGGGGTTTGGGAGTTGGAGGAGTTGGAGGATGTGAAGGATAAGGAGGATGTTGGAGATGTTGGAGGAGGGGGAGGTAGCAGAGGGGTTGGGAGCTGGAGAGGTTTGGGAGTTGGAGGATGTGGAGGTGTTGGAGGAGGAGGAGGTGGAGGGGTTGCGTGTTGGAGAGGTTTGGGAGTTGGAGGATAAGGAGGATGTGGAGGTGTTGGAGGAGGAGGAGGTGGAGGGGTTGCGTGTTGGAGAGGTTTGGGAGTTGGAGGATAAGGAGGATGTGGAGGTGTTGGGATGTTGGAGGTGCTGGGAAGCTGGAGGTCTTGGGATGTTGGAGGGGTTGGGGAGGTGGAGGATGTGGAGGTGTTGGGATATTGGAGATGGGTGTTGGAGGGGTTGGGAAGCTGGAGGGGCACTGTATATCTTTAGATGCTCTGTACACCGTAGATTGCTCAGCGCTTCAACATTTCTAGGGCACCAGAATCTCCTGGCTACTGACTGGGGGAGATTTACATTGGACTCTTTGTACTAATATTAAAAATCCAGATGAGATCCTGACACAAATAGAATATAAAGGAAGTGGAAAGCCTCCTTTACACCATGATGACCATGTGGGTTGCTTCATATCCTGAAATACCCTGGAGATCTGGGCTAAGAAAAGCAGTGTGAACCTCTTTTTGACCATGCTTTTGGATTTAGATGGACATCAGCAGTAAATAACAGAGACAGGAGAGGATCTTCTGCATGCTGATATTACCTTTCTATCTTTTTCTGAGCTACCAGATTAGCTCAAGAAAATGGAGAAGGAGAAAAAAATTTGATCTCTTTTTTTCCATACAGCTTAGAATTAGTACCATATTCCAGTGTTGAGCACAGAACAACTCTTGGAAAGCATGGTGGGAGGGTGGAGGAGGTGGTGGGAAGCTGGAGGAGGTGGTGGGAAGCTGGAGGAGGTGGTGGGAAGCTGGAGGAGGTGGTGGGAAGCTGGAGGAGCTGGGGGGGTTGGAGGAGCTGGAGGGGTTGGGAGGAGGTGGAGGGGTGGGAGGAGGTGGATGTTGGGATATGGAGATGTTGGAGCCATTGGAATGTGGAGATCCTGGGCCATTGGAGCTCGGAAAAACCAGCAGAAAGAGCTGCCAACCCATCTCTGAGCAGCTCCCAAGTTCTCCTCACTCCAGGAAAATCCTCTTCACTCCAGAATTCCCCCCCAAAAAACCCTCCCCCTCCTTTTTCCCCCCCCCTTTCCCATGATTTCCTCTTCTCCAACCCCCTGAGGTGGAAGGTCCCAAGATGTTCCCTTGGGAAGGTGGAACATCCCAAGGAGATGTTGGAGGAATGAACCTCCCTCAGGATCCACTCACCCGTGTCGTTCTCCAGCTCGAACCTCAGGTTCTCTGAGGAGGGAAATAAAGAGGTTTAATTAAAAGAAACATTAATGAATATGTAGGAATTTAAATAGAGAAACAAGAGGTTCCCCAGGGACGTGTCCCCAAGAGGTTCCCCATGAGATTCCAGGGATGTGTCCCCAAGAGAGAGGTCCCAGGGACATGTCCCCATGAGATTCCTCAGGGACGTGTCCCCAGGAGGTGTCCCAGGGATGTGACCCCAGGGACGTGTCCTCAGGACCCCTCCCTCCCTTCCCAGCCCCTTCTCGCCTGGGATCTGCTCTCCCAGGAGGCTCCTCACCCCGGAATTCCAGCAGCACCTCCTTCAGCACCGCGCTCTTCTGGGACGTGTCCCCAAGAGGTTCCCCAAGGACGTGTCCCCAGGAGGTTCCCCAGGGATGTGTCCCCAGGACCCCTCCCTCCCTTCCCAGCCCCTTCTCCCCTGGGATCTGCTCCCCCAGGAGGCTCCTCCCCCCGGAATTCCAGCAGCACCTCCTTCAGCACCGCGCTCTTCTGGGACGTGTCCCCAAGAGGTTCCCCAAGGACGTGTCCCCAGGAGGTTCCCCAGGGATGTGACCCCAGGGACGTGTCCCCACGAGGTTCTCCAGGGATGTGACCCCAGGGATGTGTCCCCAGGACCCCTCCCTCCCTTCCCAGCCCCTTCTCCCCTGGGATCTGCTCTCCCAGGAGGCTCCTCACCCCGGAATTCCAGCAGCACCTCCTTCAGCACCGCGCTCTTCTGGGACGTGTCCCCAAGAGGTTCCCCAAGGACGTGTCCCCAGGAGGTTCCCCAGGGATGTGTCCCCATGAGATTCCCCAGGGATGTGGCCCCAGGACCCCTCCCTCCCTTCCCAGCCCCTTCTCCCCTGGGATCTGCTCCCCCAGGAGGCCCCTCACCCTGGAATTCCAGCAGCACCTCCTTCAGCACCGCACTCTTCTGGGACGTGTCCCCAGGGATGTGACCCCATGAGGTTCCAGGGATGTGTCCCCAAGAGGTGCCCCAAGGATGTGACCCCAGGGATGTGTCCCCAGGACCCCTCCCTCCCTTCCCAGCCCCTTCTCCCTTGGGATCTGCTCCCCCAGGAGGCTACTCACCCCGGAATTCCAGCAGCACCTCCTTCAGCACCGCGCTCTTCTGGGCAAAGCTCTTCAGCTTCTTCTCCAGCTCCGCCAGCCCCGCCTCGGGTTTGCAGAACATCCAGCCCTCAGCACTGGGGGGGCTGGGGGGGGGAGAAGAGCCAATTAGTGCAATTAATGGATGAAAAGGGAATTAAATTCATTCAAGGAAAGTGGTCAAAGCCTTAAATCGGTTGAAGAAATTGAATAATTCAAGAAATTTCATCAATCGAATCAATAAGTGATTGGGAAGAGAATAAATCATGACATAAATTAACTGGAAAAGGAATAAAAATTAATGAATTACTTAAATTAATTAAAGAAATCAGTTAAATAAAGAAAATAAAGGAAGGAAATTAAATACTCAAAAAAGAAAATAAAGAAATTAAAGGAATTCAATAAAGAAATTCAATAAGAAATTCAATAATTAAAGAAATTCAATAATTAAAGAAATTCAATCATTAAGGAAATTCAATCATTAAGGAAAATCAATCATTAAGGAAATTCAATCATTAAGGAAATTCAATCAATCAAATCAACAAAAGACTGGAAAGAAATTAAATCAAAAAAATAAATAATGACATAAATTAACTGGAAAAGGGAAAAGAAATTGTAAAAAATTAATTAATTTCATTAAGAAATGAAAAATCATTTGATTTATGGGAAGAAACAGCCCAGAGTGAGGCTCCCAGTTAAACCAGTAAGGGCTCAGCTTCACTCACCTGCTTCCAACTGGGGCAACTCCCTGGAGAGAGAGAGGAGGGGAAAAAAAGGAGGAATTAATCAAAAAAAGGCTTTTTTTCTACCTTAGAGACACCAAAATAAGAGAGGTTTTAGTTTTGAGGGGATCAAAGAGAACCCAAGGAGCTGCACTACTAAAAAAGGCCAATTTCCCCCCAAAACAGGCCAATTTCCTCCCAAAATGGTCAATTTCCCCTCACAAAATGGTGGTTTCCTCATAAAAGTCCAATTTCCTGCAAAAAAGATGGTGTTTTCTCCCAAAAAAAGGCCAATTTCTCCCCAAAACAACCAGTTTTCTCTCAAAAAAAGCCAATTTCTCCCCCACCAATAAAAGCAAATTTCCCCCACCCAAAAAAGCCATTTTTTCTCCTCAAAAAGGCCCATTTCCCATTAAATAAAGACCATGTAACCCTAAAAATTCCAATTTCCAGCCAAAAAAGGCTGATTTTCCCTCACAAAAGGCCAATTTCCTCCCCAAAAAGGCCAATTTCCTCCCCAAAAAAGGCCAATTTCCCTCCAAAATGTCAGATTTTCCCTCACTAAAGGCCCATTTTCCTCAAAAGAGGCCCCTTTTTTCTGAAAAACGCCCTTTCCCCCCAAAAAAGGCCCATTTTCTCCAAAAAAGGCCAAATTTTCACCTAAAACAGGCCCATTTTAAAAAAAGGCCTATTTCCCCCCAAAAAAGGCCCTTTTATTTTAAAAAAGGCCATTTCTCCCCAAAAAAGGCCCTTTTCTTTTTAAAAAAGGGCCCATTTTCCCCAAAAAAGGACCTTTTCTTTGAAAAAACGGGCCCATTTTCCCCAAAAAAGGCCCATTTTTTAAAAGAAAAGGCCCATTTCCACCCCAAAAAAAGACCTATTTAAAAAAAAGGGCCCATTTCCCCCCCCCAAAAACAAAAAAGACCCATTTTAAAAAAGGACCCATTTCGCCCCCCAAAAAAGCCCATTTTTTCTAAAAAAAGGCCCATTTTCCCCAAAAAACGTCCATTTTTCTAAAAAAAGGCCCATTTTCCCCAAAAAAGGCCCATTTTTTAAAAAAAAGCCCATTTCTCCTCCCAAAAAAGGCCCATTTTCCCAAAAAGGCCCAAACTCTCCCCCAAATCTGTGCTAAGAAGCTCCATTCCCACCTCCAAAACCAACCCAACCCCCACTCCACCCATGACCCAACTCCAAGGTGGCCCCGAGTTGCTCCTCAACTGGACTTTTCTCCCCAGGGATCCCAAGCTCAGGTTTTCCCAGGATGGGAGGACAATTCCCAACATTCCCAACCTGGTTTCCTGGGGTGTTTTCTCCTCCTTGTTCTCCCAGTAGTTTGTCCAACTGGGCAATCTCCTCAGAGAGTTGGGAGATGCTCTCATCCCTCCTCTTCAGGACATCCCTGTCCAGCTCTTCCAACCGGGACAACAGGAGCTGCTCCTTCTCCTCCAGGAACCCCCGGAGCTCTTTACACTCAGCCACAATTTTCTGCCTTTCCACTTCTGTCTGTTTCTGCAAATTCCAGAGGGAAATTCCCAAGTGAGGAAGGAAAATCCTGGTGGTCATGGAAGGGTTTGGAGGGAGATCTGAAGGACTCACCAGGAGCTCCTGGCTCTGGCGTTCCCGTTCGGCTTTGGCTTCCTCGCGGCTTTTCCTCAAGGAGCTCAAATGTTCCTGAGGCACCTCCTGGAAAAATGGGAGGGTTGGTGGGAATTCTGGGATCAGGAGGATGGAGGGAAGGGGGTTGTGGGGGGTTCTCTTTGGTGGTGCTGCTCAAAAATTGGTCAAAACTCATCACATCTCAAGGTGGAAACGAAGCCAAGTGAGGTCGTCGTTTGGATCCTCAACCCGCCCCAAAACTGTCCCAAGAAAACCCCCAAACTTTCCTCAACCAGCCCCAAAATTGTCCCTTCAAGCCAAAAGGTTAAAAAAATTCAGAATTAGAGGCAATTTTGGAACTTCTTGGTGCTGAAATCAACCCCAAAATGGAGGGGTCACTGCCCCCAGGTGGCTTGTTATGTTTATTAATGGCTTTAATACTTATTAGAAAATAAGGGCTTATTAAAAAATAAAGAGTTGTTATAAAACAACCATTTATTTATTAGAAAATAATATTATTGTTAATATTATTATTAAATGTCCTCATTTCAGGCAAAAGCTGCAGGGGTTTGGGGAGGGTTTTGAGAAATAAACCAGGTTTTTTAGGAAATAAAGCAAGTTTTTTAGGAAATAAATCAGTTTTTAAGAAATAAACCAGGTTTTTAAGAAATAAACCAAGTTTTTTAGGAAATAAACTAAGTTTTTTAGATATAAATCACAGTTTTTTAGAAAGAAATCACATTTTTTAGGAAATAAAACACCTTTTGGGAACTAAAACTCAAAAGCTACACAGATTTTGCTGCTGTTTACCAGCTGCCCTCAGGAAAATGCAGAATGAAAGCACCAAATAAAAGCAAAAAAGGGGAAAAAAAGGGGGTAACCAGCCCCGAGGAGCAGCAAGGAGTTGTTAAAACTCACCAAAAGAGATTAAAAAGGGCAAAAAACAAGCCCAAAAAAGGAACAGCCTGACCAGGGCTCAATGGCGGCCGCGCCGGACAACACAACGACACCTAAAAAAAGGCCTAAAATGGCAAATTTAGGAGCTGGAGGTGATAAAAAGCTTTGGTACCACCTGCCTGGATAATAATAATTATCACTGATATGCAAAATTAATGATTATTAAGTCCCCAGTGGCTCCAGGGCCACCCTCTTCCTCCTCCTCCTCCTCCGTTGCGCGCCTAACATTCGCTTCCCCGTCCGGCATCTTGATTTTCCTTCCCCCCAGGCAGCAAAACCAGGCCCGGCTGTTCAGGGTGGTTCTCACAAGCCTCTTAATTAGTCATTAATCATTATTTCTAGCAGGGAAATCCCCCCCTCCAGAGTGACAAGGGGGGTGATCTTTCCCTTCATGGCCATCGTGGTTTGGGTGGAGATCGATCAGGTTCCGTATTCGCTCTGCGTCACCATGCCCTGGGTTGGGGTTATTTCCTTCATTTTTGGTTCATTTCCATAATTTTTGGTTCATTTCCTTCATTTTTGGTTCGTTTCCTTCATTTTTGGTTCGTTTCCCTTCTTTCAGGGGTGGGGAAACAGTCACTTTGGGGGGATTTTCTGCTCAGGGGTTAAAAAATAACCCCCCCCCAGGGAGCAGGTTCTAAACTCACCCCAGGAAATTTCTGCCCCCAACCCCAGGGATGGGGGTGATGAGGATTTTGGGGGTGCCCTGAGGTATTTTGCTCACTCACCCCCCCCCAAAAGTGACCCCAGGGATTCCCAGCTTCCTCTCAGTTCCCAGTTCCCTCCCAGTTCTGTTTTTGCACAGAGATACTCCCCCAACCTACCCAGGATCAGCCCCCCCCC